ACAATAGCAACACTCATTGGCATGATACAAATACGACATTTGCAATACGATTGGTATCGCAGCTTCTCATTGGATGATATATTGTTAGTTGGCGCGCAGACTGGCTCCTTCTTATATAACATCTTCACAGTGATTGCGGGTCATTTTACATTGCGTAGCGATGATATGTTAGTGCCGCTGAATGCACTCGCCTCCATTGTGCAAACAGCTTGCCAAACGTTATTCATATTGGATGCTAGTCGGCGACAAGCCATCAAACCAGAGCATATACGGAAGAAACCCGGACGAGAAATTGTTACTTTCATGTTGGTGGTGAATCTAGCGATGTGGGCTATCAGTACGCTCGAGAAATCACGCGCCGAATCGCATCCGATACAGCTGAATTTCTACGGTCTGTGGGCGTGGACGATAATAACGCACGTCTCAATGCCGCTAGCAATATTCTATCGTTTTCACTCAACCGTTTGCCTCTGTGAAATCTGGAAGCGCGCGTACAAGCTCAAACCGACCTATATGTGAGAGTTTGCGCGCGAGCGCATTGCAAGCATTGCGCAACAGCAACAGTTCTGTGAAGATCTCAAAACCAATCTGTCGTACTGCTACTGCTCGACAACACTGGCTGGTGGCGAACTCGAGACCGTCGAAGAGGCGGAGAGTGGCGAGAGCAACGGCTACGAAGAAGATGACGAGGGTGAGGATGGCGGCAATGGTGACGTTGGTGGTGCTGGTACCGATACGACCGCAGCGGTGCTGGAAAGTGGCACCGGCACGGCAGCGACCGAAGAAGAGGAATTGGAAACGACAGAGGGTGATGGATTGGAAGTGAAACAACGACCAAAACAAACGAAACCGAATGGCAGCGAACAGAGAAAGAAGCAGCAGCAGCAGCGGCAGCCGGAGCAAAAACCCAGGCAACGACATGTCAAGTTAGTGGGTGTTGGTGATAATGGTAATGATGGTAATGGAGATGGTGGTGGCGGTGGTGGTAAACCTTCCGCTTTTTGTCCGGTATTCGTGATAAATGGCGAATGAGTTTACGCAGATTTTGAGTTCATTGATGCGGGTAGTGATCGTGAACTCACCTTCGTTTAAGGTGACAGTTTGTATCTAAAGCATTTAGCGCAGACAGGCAAACCGCTGGGGGTAATATGTAAGATAGCCAAGGATAGGTGAGTTTATGCGAAAGTGTTATGGGATCGATGGTATGATCAACTCGAAAACAGAAAGACAGGATTGAGACCGACAGAGTTATGTGGGGAGAGGAAACTGTGCAATTTCTATTTTTCGAAGCAGCAAACATATCCTGTGAGTTTATTACTTGAAATATATTATATTAAAAAATATAAGCATGAAAAAACCCAATCATATTACTATGTAGTACATAGTATTGAAATTTATAGTGGCAAAAAGAAAACTAACCCCTTCTGGACCGTAAGCCTATAATTAAAAATACATACGACGAATTGAGAACTTCCACTAATTTTGAACGCCGTAAAAAAAATTTCATAGAATATTATAAGGGAAAACATTTCTTCCCAATTCAATTTCCAAATTTGTTTTCCTATAAAATTTGTAGATAATGCCCAAAAATTTTTTTTTCTTATATATGCTACATTTTTGCTCTTTAGGTAAACATATTCTTTTAAGGAAATATTTTTTCAAATTTTTTTTTTTTTAACAATAAGTTTTTTTCTCAAATCTTATTTTTCTTAATACAAATTTTTTAGGAAAGTTAATTTCATTATTTTTTCTTTTTCGCTAAAAATTATATTGATTATTTTTTTCTAAAATTTTCTATTTTTTTTAAATCATTTTAATTTTTGAAATTTCTTTTTTTCCAAAAACTATTTTTTTTGTAAACGTAAGTTTTTTCTCTCATTTTTGGTAAATTTTTCTAGTTTTGGAAAGAATTTTATTTCTCGTTAAAAATTCGTGGGAAAGGTTGCTAAATAAAAATGTGCTTTACACGATTACCTTATGAGTGGAGAAACTCTTTGGATTTTTATAGCAAAAGGTGTCGTAGTGAAAACCAGCCCTAAAGGGTCATCCATTTTGCGCTTGGGAAAGTAAAGTTCTGCCACAGTCACCCAAACTGGTATTTGTTTTGTTAAAATCTTTTCCAATCAAAGAATGGCAATAATTTAAAAAAAAACCCTCTACAAAAAAAATTATTTTTTTCATATATACATTGTTTAGAAATAAAGTTTTTTTAAAAACCCCCTTTTCCAAAAATTTATTTTTTTCATAGATACATTTGTTTAGAAATAATTTTTTTTATGAAAAAAATAAATTTTTTGAAAAGGGGGGTTTAAAAAAAATCATTTTTAGACATTTTAGAATAGAAATAATTTTTTATTTCTCTATAAAAATTATTCCTTTTTCTGGAAGTCAGTTTTTTCGAATGTTTGGTAAATTTTTGTAAAAATATCTTTTTCCAAAATTTAGTGCAAAAAATAGTGGTGGTGGCCAAAACTGCTTCAAGCTGTCTAGTCATACTAATTGATGCCCACCACCTCACTAAAGGGAGGGGAATGTATGTGCAAAAAAAAAAAAACAACTCAAATAAAATATGACGGGAGGCAAGTAAAAAAACCTTTGAAAACTCCCATTTTTCGATATTCGTACTAGGTATTTTCTAGAAACATTTTATAAGATACGCGACTAGAATTATCGAAAATCATAGAAAAGTTAAACGAAATTGTTGCAGAAAACGACATTTAAGAAGTAGAATTGATATACAAAATCGTTTGTAGTAATTCTAAAGCCACTTCAAATACTAGGGAATATAATCAAAAATGTATCCATACAATAAGAAGAAGGTATTGAAAAAGTGTTATAAATTTCTTAAAATCCACTAAAATTCATAATACTCAAAAAACTGTATAATGAGTAACAATAAACTTTAGTCAAATGATATACGGACCCACCATAAACCACCATTTCGGACGAAAAATTCATTGGCATGCAAAAAAAAACTTCCAAAAACGATAAATTAAAAAGCAAAAATTAAGCAAATGTCAAAGAAAACTACATAAGTAGTTTTTCGAACGATGAACAACAAACAAATAACCCACGCATACATCTACACTCAACTGAAAGTCATACAAATCTTACATTCATACATGCAAATAAGCAAATAAATATTTTTCGATGTGCATTCATTTATTTTACTAACCAATAAAGAATAAAATATTATTTTCTTTTGAATTTTCCTACACCTGAAATAGAATATACATACGTACATATATACATACATACATATAAACATTGATGAATTCTCCTCAAAGTACATAAATGAATAGTTAAATTACCAAACCAAGAAGAGAAAAATAACTGACAAACATGTTTGAAAATTGAAGTGATTTAATAAATAAAGAGAATGTAATGATTGTGAACAATATTGAATAAAACAGTTATACATATGTAGTACATACATTCATATATGGAAAATGTAGATCGATATGCATATAACACAGCGTAGTTTGAAGTAAACCAGAAAATATGCGATTAACAGCGGATATAGAAACTTTAAAGCCGATTTTAAATGCATACGAAAATAACCTAAAAGTCTAGAAAATCAAGAGAAATGCCATGAGCATTAGGGTGGTCCTTAAAAATATGGACATGATGGAGTATCCCTTGATTTATACTTTCTACGTACAAAATAAAGACGTCCACGAAGGTTGATTTTTTTCTTTAAACCGCGAAAATTCAACAAAATGTTTTACTTTGGCTAGCCATAAATCAGCGAAAATATTATAAATTTATCAGATTTCAAATGCAAAAATTTTTTTCAATGTTTGCGATTTTTCAAAAAATTTAAATCTCTACAACCCTGGCATCGACCACTAAAAATTGGTTTTAAATTTTGAAATATTCGTGCAAATTTTCCCCCATACAAAATTTTGATGTTAATAATTTAAGTACAACCCTAATCAGCATGTATGTAGATGTATGTATGTACAATATTTAGCGATACTATGTACTTGTATAGACTGATTGCGTGTTCACTGGAAAACTAAAACCCTAAACTAAAAGTCAAATCAAATCAAAGGAAAAATAAAGTTAAGTAATGGCTGATATAAGGCGAATACTAAGTTATGTTACATACGTACATAAATGAAGAACATGCAGTCATAAAATTTATTAAGATTGTGCTGCAACGGTTAAAATAACAAACTACTTGCATGTATAAAAGCGAAAGTGTATCAGCTGAGTTACGAAGAAAAATATTAAATAATTTCAAATAAATGCAAAGTTCATGAAGTGAAAGACAAAACTACGATTAGTGCTAGTATCTCGCATGTGACCATTGTGGATACATTTATCGCTAAAATGAGTACTCACGGAGCTACAAGACAAAGCCAAAAAGTAATTTAATTGACTAAGAAAGTTATGAAAGTTAGGTAATCTCAGAGGTTTTTGTATCTTAAAACTTCTCTTCAAACGATTTTATGTCGACTTGGGCAGAGATAAAAAAAACTTCACAAATTGCCTTTCTCCTTTGCAAATTGCGCCAATTATCCATTACAGCTGCAGGTATACCCTTCTGCTCTAGATTCTTCCGCTGCATTCGTGCGCGCTTCCGTTGTCCAGCCGAATGATTTTTTCACCAGAGCGTCATCATCCAGCCCACTGCAATCTTTGTGCTTTCAAATCGCTCAACTTTGACTATATCAATAAAAATCTAGTACAGTTCGTCATTCCATCGTAGAATAATTCTCTCGAAATATTGGTAGAGCGTGATTTTTGTTCGCCGAGAAATGACTCTGCCTTTCAATTGCCTTCCGAGCCGAAGGTATCAAAAGTTATTCTTCGCTTGATGTCCAGGCTGACTTTATTGGTACGGTTAATGCTGAATGCTAAGTAAACAAAGTCCTTCCCGACTTCTAAATTATAGCTGCCAATAGCGACATCTGTATGAATGCCCTTTGTTTGTTGCCAGAAGGTGAGTACTTTGTCTTGTCCTCATTCATCGCTCGACCAACCTCGTTTTCCTCTTTCTCCAACCTGGAAAATGTTGTGCTCACGGGCTAGAAGCACCGCACTTTTACTTTACACCAGATATCACTTATATCAGAATATCAAATGGAAGAAATGGCGTCATAGACGCAGTTTATCTTCGTATCGTATTAAAAGCCAGTTGGTTCAAGAATATCTTCAGTCTTTCTTGGGGACTGGACAAAGTTAAATGAGATTCGGAGAGGTGTGGTAGGAGCTCAAAAGCTTTTACCAATTTAATTTTACTACTTATACTTCAGGCTAAAAATTTAGCTTTTCTAATCATTTAATTCTTTTTTAAAAGCTCCGTGAAATAAATAAAAGTTGCCAAATGAGAAAAATATTAAAAAAAAATATTAAAAAAAAAAATAAAAAATTCCAATTAGCGTGAAAAAAATGTTCAACTAACTACATAAGAGTACAGATGGAGCAGACTCGCTGTCACTATACAAGGGAAAATGAAACGAAAAACTCATATGGCTTACATGACACTCACAACATATTACTGGCCTATCAAATACATAAACATATACATAGATTTGTATGTCATCAGGCCACATTAATAACTTGCCACCTAATAATGCTGCTACTAATGTTATAAAAAAAAAAAATAAGTTTGTG